TGATTACATTTTGTATGATGGATTATGCAGAAAAAGTAGAATTGGGCTGAAAGATCTGTCGCTTTATCACCTGTTCAGGTTGTAAATCGGGTTTTTAAAAAGTAACTAAGTAATTAATTACTTTTGAAAATAAGTAATCAGTAAAGTAATGGGGAAGTAATCAGTAATTAGTTACTGATTACTTTTTTCAAGTAACTTGACCAACACTGCATACAAGTCACAGCAGGACTGGTCTTAATTAGAATAAATAATTTCATCCATTGGGTTTAATTTGTAATAAATGAGCATTTTACTTGTTTTATAACAAAATCACAGGGAAATGTGAAGAACAGTCTGGATGTCACAGTAGCTGTTGCAGGAGGGACAATCATCCAGACAAGTAAACAATGAGTTACAAACATGAAGCAGCAGCTCAGGATGTGTGCTGTGAGGCACCGAAGTGTTAGAGGAGATCGTGAAGTCGTTTCAGCTGCTTGTCCTGTTTCTTCCAGCTTCGCTGCGCTCAGCGACATCAAATTTCAAAATCGATGGGAGAGGGGCGAGATGAGGAGGAGAGCCTTTCTGTTGTTCTACTACCTTCTGCGTTCCCCCTTCTATGACAAATACTCTGAGTAAGTATCTGTGGTTAAGTGGTGTTTTCAGCGGTTTTATATCGTCTTCTGAAAAGTGTTGAAATTAGGATGACATAAATAATTGTACAATCTGTAGATCTGTCCCCTTGTAGCTGGGGGATGGGTGGGGCCTGATGGGTCCTGCCGGCCTGGTTTAGTGGGGCTTTGGGCTGGGTGAGCTGCAGTTGGGTGACCTAGTTCATTACAAGGCCCGGATGTATAGGGGCCTCTCCCTCCCCCTGCACTAAGGATGTATCAGACAAATACAGGTGACAGATGTCCTAAACTGGAGCTGGTGGTACATATTAGACGATGGTTTGCTTCGTGTTTCATCTACAGGTGCAGGAAGCCTGTCAGTACCTTCCTGAAGCCACCCACCTCCCCAATTAAAAGGAGTGGCTGGTGACTTTTGCACAGTATTGTAATTCTTGTTCCTTCACTGGTCTCTTAACAGTGTTACTTTTTACTCCTTCATGTGCAGGGAAAAGATTCTGTTCCTGCTCAGACTTTTGGCTGATCATGTTCCAGGAGTCGGGCTTGTGGCACGTAAGTAGAACCGTGTGCTCATTCTTCATGCACGATGTTGCCTTGCGTTGCTGTAACGGTCGAGAATTTAGACGTCTTAAAGCTGTTTGTAGAGCAACTGAAATTGTGACTTTAAAAAATAGCAGCTTTTGAAAATTGAATGCATTTCAGAGTTCTACTTCGTAATGCGTACTGTAAACATTTGTGCGTGTGAGAGAGAAATGAGACTGTCACCTGAAATTGCCTAAAATAATCAGGTGAAATGATTTCTTTAATTTGAAACAGATGAAATGAGTTTAGAGGGTTCGTACGGGTGCTTGAAATCCTTGAAAATGCTTAGATTTTATTAACTTGGTGTCTTTGGAAACAGCTTAGGGGGGAATAATAGCAATATGACAGACTGATCCATATGGGCAGTTCCTCGGCTTTCATTCAAAGTCTGTTTATCGTGAGCACCGACACATTAAACAACTTAAACATTATGAATGGCTTCAAGCTCACACTGAGGCCTGTGGGGCTCTATCAGCCACGGAGACGACAGACACATGTATGTGTTTTTTGTATATGAATGTTTCATATTTCAAGGCTGCCTGTTTATTTAAGGGAGATGAACAATACATTATTATTTGACATAATTCTATGACAGGTGATGGACTGAATAAATAGATTTTAGGTCGATGTTTGTGCGTTCTTAAAGTCTTATATGTTGAACTGAACTGAGTGTGTCATCTGTTCAAAGCCTCCCGTCAGTGCTGTTCTCCATGCCTGTCTTACTGTGCATGGTGTTATTAGCACAAACACTTTAAAGCTGATCATTTAGGACTGTAACAATAATCCAGAGAGCAATGTAGTCAAACATCTCACAGTTAGTTTTGAATGAATGAACTAAAGAAAACAACAAACATCTGTCTGATGAGAAGACTTATTAATTTGGCCTTAACGTGCATCATTTTGTCATGTTTGGCGCAGTTTTCTTGTTTTGTGGGCTTGTTTTTTATTCAGCAGGAGATGAATATCTCTAACAAGTTGATTAGTTCACATTTGCACATATTAATTTTTAAGTGAAATGTGTGTTTTAAGTTTATATGAAGTGTGCTGGAAAAGCTTGAAAATGGACCTTGAAAGTGCTTAAACAGTGCTTGAATTTGACCCTGAAAAGGTGTATGAACCTTGAGTTAACATGTGGGAGAATCCACTTCATTTGAAAGTCACGTGAATGTGCATCGACACTAAAAATCCAGTAACATCCACTGAAACTGCATTATCATATCTGTCTTATTCTCTCGGCTTCTCCATTTAGAGGTTGCCACAGATGATCCATCTGACTTTATCTCTAATACCATCTTCTCTCAAAAACCACTGTAATCACATTATCATATATATGTTTTCTTCTTTCAGCTGCTTTCTTTAGAGGTTGTCCTCAGTTTCGTTTCTAATACTGTAAAGTTTTATGAGATGTTACTTTTCACAGGTAGGCCAATCACAGGTGATACCTGCGATACATTATTACAGTGTTATACATATATGATAATTCACTTTTATTTTTTTCTAAAACGTACCGTCACATTACTTATCACAGGCAGAGTTTATTATTAAGAAAGAGTCCAGAGGAGCGCAGTCCCTCGCGCTCCCAGGCCTGTTTTTAAATGTATTTTTTTAATTATATTGCTGCAACTCGTCCTGTCAAACCTGCAGCTCAAAGTCTTCTCTTCACAGTTGAGACTGAGACTTTCTTACTACGACCTCTGTTAAGCTGCGATGAAGCTGTTGTGCTGAGAGCCGCCGATCACACAGAAACGTGTCCTCTGATCCAGTCGTGTCTTTGGGTCTGAACTTCCTGTCAGTTTGTTTCTGAGTGCAGGAGGAGGAAACTGGACTCACTGACACCTTGACTTTCTTTGCAGTTTCTGTGTCGGACAGACCTACAGACCTAAGAGTTATGGTGGTCTGTTTCTCTTCCATTACTAATTGCCCTTTTCTCTGCATTTCTGTAGCAACACACTCCTTCCTGCATATATACATGTACACATATATGGATACACGGAGAGAGATCTTTTTCTTTTCTTGTTTTTTTGGCACTGTTGTTCCACCATATGATACATGATTTCATGAACTATTAGTGCTGGGTTTGATTGTGTTGTCTCTGTGTTCAGGTCCCCTGATGGATTATCTCCCCACCTGGCAGAAGATCTACTTCTACAACTGGGGCTAAAACCTGCACTCGGATCTTTGACGTTTGCTAATCAGCTGGAGAAACTGCACAAAGGACCCATCAGTTGCCAGGATGGAACAGAGACACAGACTCTTGCAATAATTCCTCAGAAATCAGATAAAATGATTGGAAATGACTGGCCTGCAGTGAGGGACAAAAATGAAATCATTACAGTTATAATTAAAATCCCAGCGCTCAGCAGGTTTTTTGGTACACAAAATATGTCCTAAATCTTTGCAGTGTAGACACACTATGAGCCTGATTTATAGCAGAATCTCTTTGAACTCCGCCCATCATTGCACTGCTTTATCTGTCAATAACAGATGATGTATTTCAGCAGCTCGCTGCAGAGAGGAAGGTGGACCCATGTAAATACAGTGCGCCTACACGTTATACAGGTTAAAGCAAAGCATGTCTTCATAATACATGAACTCAACACAATTGCTCTCATTTGCTGACAGTCTGCATGCACAAATATAATTTGTTATTATTGTTCTTGCTTTTTGGTAATTTATAGATTTCCAAATGCTCAAGATTACAGTTGAATAACCGACTGACAGGTTAGTCTGAGGTTAGCTGCATTTTTTTCCTGTTTCTTGTGGTCTTTTTCTTTTTTTCAAATCAACATTAAAATCCCAAATCTGAATTATTCCAGCTTTTTTTTTTTACCTTTTAGATTTAAAAACAAACACTGAAGCAACACTTTGGAAGAAAACCACAGATGATAAATTCAGCAGGTTTTTCTTTTTGTGGAAAGCAAAAAGAAAGTCAACCCTGTTGTAATTAGGTGAAATGTGGATGATAAATTACATGGATAGATATCAGTTGAACAGTGATGAAATTTGATTATTTATAACATTTGAATCAAACTGTGTGATTAATAGTAACAGTCAGCTAACAAACACTTACGTACGCTAAGGATGAGCTGAAGCAACAGTAGTTTAGAAACTATTATAAGGCTTAGAGCTTGTAATACAACAGCATAAACCTTGCATTGAACAACAGACGTCTGTTCTGGTCATTCTTCAGATTTTCCACAAACAGAATGGATTCATATCCACAGTACAGTAATCATGTTCCCACCAAACAACCTCCAGGGCTGGAAGATGGGAGCTAAATCACTTGTACCAGAACCAGTTCACTTTAATTCAGGTTTATTTATATAGCACCAACTCACCTGAGAGTGTTTGATACTGAAGCACCTACAATGTTAGACAGTTCAATCACACAGCTCCCTATGAGAAAGTGTTGGGTGAGGAAGGAAGTACTCAGTTTTAACTGGAAGACACCAACAGCAGAACCAGGCTGTCCAGTCCAAACTGCATGTTTACAGCCTGCAGCACAGTTTGAGTTGCCGGACTGAAATAGCTCAAAGGCCGACTTCAATTTCTTTGCATTAAAATCTGTGGGGCGTCCCCACTTTTTTTCCACTTTTGGATCATTTTCATTTCAAATCTGCTTTTATATAAAAATGTGTGAATGTTGAACAGAGTAAAATCTAGTACGGCAGCAACTAGGGCTGGGCCATATTATACCGTTCACGGTAATACCGGTATAATGTTAGACAATGATAGGAAAATGAAATATCGCGATAGAATGTAAGTAAAACGCGCATGCGCAGTGCCTTTGTTTTCATACGCACATGGCCGATTGTTGAGTGAAACAGATGAACCAGAATTGGTTTGTAAAAATGGTGCAACTTCCGTGATGTGGAACTGGTTTGGTGTTTGTCCGTCAGATACACGACAAAGCACATTTTTTTTGCAGAACATGCAAGCGGGCCGTCGTTATTGTCGTATTTGTCGGACTAAGATGCTCTTAAATCTGGGAGTAATCTGGGTCCTAAACCCCCCTCTTCAGGTCAAACGAACACTGCACTGAGAGTTAAAAACTGTCTAAATTCTTTCATCTTTAATAAAACGATCAGCATTGCTGCTTTACCAGGTGTAACTATGAAGTTTAACTTCCAGGCATCCATGAAAACAAAATGTATTACATTTAACGGAGTTAGAAGTTAGCAGGAAGCTAGCGGAAGTTAGCTCGCTAGTTTCGCTAGTTACCTAAGCATGATATTGCATGTTCTGACTGAGAGATTTCTGAAAAAATTCAAACGTACAGCTCTGCTATCACTTTCAACATAAATGAAGACAGGAAACTAAACAGCAGTGACGTTTGTAGGGTTACTGAAGTTGGGCTAGCTGGTATATAATGATGTGCTACGTGATCGCTAGCGACACAGCTATGTTAGCATAACATAAACAGTGAAGCTGGAGGACGAACACTAACACTTTTCCACTTATAAAAGTTAACGTGAAGGTTCTTGATGGTTAGAGACAAATGCAATCGCATGGCAGGATGCTGTAAACGGACCAAACTTCAGTCAGGAGAACAACTGAGATAATCCATCCACAATACGAGGTTAGTCATTAATATACTGCAACAACATGGGAATAGAGCAGCTGCCAGAGAATTCAACATTAATGAATCAATGGTACAGAAGTGGAGGAAGCAAGAAGAATGAGTTTAATAAAGTTTGATTTATCTGACTGCTTTGTTTCGCTTAATGTGCCTTATAATCCCGTGCACCTTATGGTCCGAAAAATACGTACTGCACACTGCAGTTTAATGTTGCAAAGCACCTCTTTTTAACTTCAGTGGATATTATACATGGTTATGCTCAGGATATGTCAGCCCATTTCTACTGGAAATGCCTTTTGGTTAAACTTTCAGCAAGGAATTAGCATTTGCACTGTTACATTTTTATAAAGCTTTAATGTACATAAAAACCAGCTTCTTGTTTAAGTGAAAATAAATGGAAGGTTGTCTTTTTGCGCTAGTAATGTTGTGGAGTTGTATTTTGTCTCGCATCAATTATATCGTCGGTTATATCGTTATCGCAAATTTTCAAATATATATCGTGATAAATATTTTTGGCCATATCGCCCTGCTCTAGCAGCAACCACAGGTTTAGCTTTGGGTGTTTGTGAGAAAGTTGACGTCAGTGAAAACAAAGCAGAGGTTTTTGATCTTTATTAACTGTTTCTTTTTGTAACCTACAAATAAATAGTTTTGAATGTTTCATCCTATCGCCCCACGTTTTTACCATGGGAAGGGCGCACACACGGGGTGATCAAAATTACACTTTGATGCATGAGAGAGGGAAAAAAAAAAAGAAACTACTTTCGAATTTTATCCAATTTCCAAAACTTGTTGAACGTAAAGTCTGCCCTGAACACACGAGACAAGATGGGATACGAACAAGCGCGGTGAATCTTCACAGTTCAAGTTCACTGTATTTAACTGCATTGTACATGGCAGTGAAATTTAGAGAGAATTCCTCGCCTCGAGTTAAATACTCGAGGATCATTTTTCTATTTAAAACTGAATATGTGAACTTAAAAGATACAAGCTTTCCAAAAATCAAAGCACTGAGGGTAAATCAAGGCAGACTCCAGGTTCAACAAGCAAAAACAAGTGAAACACAGCTGAAGGTGGCAGAGTGGAGATGCATAGTCAATACAGTATTATAGTTTTGAGCTGGGACAGCATATTCTGTCTGCAGTGCCTATTGGAGTTGGATTTAACCCTCCCTAATTCCCAGTATTGCACGCTGGAAGTTTGTTATAGGGAATGATGGATTTACTGCTGCACAATCTAATTCAAACACAGCATGTAACCATAGCAACTTGCACATCAAAAATGTGATGCTTCCATGTTTCACGCAGACAGAAACGCATAATTCCTCTCAAAGAGTTGAAAATCAGTCAGTGCTTTACGAAGAAAACAAACTGTGGACAAGTGCCACAGTAAGTGAGCAGCACTGTTTGGGATTGTTGTTCAAATAACACTAAAATATACACTGCCTCTTTTTTAAATCTCACAATAAAACAAAAACTAGCATGACATATTTGATTATATGAATGGAAATAAACTTTTGCAAAGGAATAAAATAAAGCAGAATGAACTCTGGCATCATTTTGAAAATCTAAGACCAAAGTATTCCAAACAGTAAATTACAACAAAACTCTGGTTTAGAAAAGAATACAACCTGTGACGCTCAGCTTTGCTCATGGAAACTTAAAGAGTCTGCTAATGAGAATGAGAGAAGAAAACACTGTCTCAAACTGTCAATAATGGAGGACGGACGTGACGGACATTTCTTTTCCCATGCAATACTTTCTGCTGTCCATGTCTCGTCCCATCTTCTCCGTCCAAATGCACGTGTCAGTCAAGAGGCTGTCTGGCTCCACACAGGTGTTAGTCCACCGGTCGATGCTGCTCAGTAGGAGCCGTAGCGGTCCTGAGGAGGGAATAAACACAAAAACAAGGAGAAGTATGAGCAAACTTATGGATTCAAGTGAAATAAAGCAGCTGTCTCGTGGACCAGTCTCACCTGGATCGTGTTCATGACACCATTGGCGAGGACAGCCATCTTTCCCGCAACGGTCTTGACTCCCTGTTTGAACTGAGCGATGTCCGAGCCAGAGGGAAGCACGCTGTCAAAGCCTGAGGCTCTTCCTGAGAGGAGCAGAGAAGTCTAATCAGACAGGACTTTTTCACACATCCAAATCAGTCAGGCTGGTTTCACACGGCAGTGATTCTGCTGAAAACACCGTAGGCCACCTCTACATGCAGCAATCCGTGGCTCAAGTTAGAAATCCCACTCTTGTTATTCACTAACTTTTTGGAGGTCATCATATATCATTTTTACCACTCAGCCTGAGGCAGCATCACAGTAACTTGAAAATGAGGTGAGCCAAGACTTGAATTCACACCACAGGTGCATCCACCGAAAATCAGTGACCTTGACGTCAGAGGTCAAGCTTTCTGAAGAACGAATTTGTACCAAATGTGCATCTACGAGGAGGCTGAGGGGATAGAATGAAGGTTTAACATCTTCAGTGAGAATCAGCTGTCTATTTGGGACTAAAGCAGAATAGCACAGCTTTCATCCACGCTGACATTGTCTGCATTTGTCTTTATTTGTGCTCGTGCGCTCATGTGCGAAGCCTCTTCTTTAAGCATAAAGGATAATATCTCATACCAAGGTATCAGCCTTGATCTAATCAACATTACTGCCAAACACACGTATCGCATTTGCCAATGAGGTAGTTGTACCTTCCCCAAAGGTGTAGGATACAGACCCTTTCTGCAGATTTAACACAATAATCCAGTGTCAGTGGGGTTTGAGACTGTCGAGTCCATATGTGATATTTTGATTTGATTTCTCCCATATAGTGGCTCCCTGTTAAATCCAGATTAAAATCTGAATCCCATAAATAATAAATAAATAATTACATAGTACCATATCACCCTATTAGAGCACTTCGCTCTCGCTCTGCAGGCCTACTTGTTGTTCCTAGAGTATTTAAAAGTAGAATGGGAGGCAGAGTCTTCAGTTTTCAGGCCCCTCTTCTGTGGAACCAGCTTCCAGTTTGGATTCGGGAGACAGACACTATCTCTACTTTCAAGATTAGGCTTCAAACTTTCCTTTTTGCTAAAGCATATAGTTAGGGCTGGACCAGGTGACCCTGAATCCTCCCTTAGTTATGCTGCAGTAGGTGCAGGCTGCTGGGGATTCCCATGAACCACTAAGTGTTTCTTTGCTTTCTATGTGAGTACACACCACTCTGCATTGAATCATTAGTTATTTCCCCCATTTTCACGTAGATTAATATATAGTTTTGTAAACACAAGTTAGAAGAGGAAGCTCAAAAGTGCAGATGAGTGCTGAGGAGTAAATGAACCTTGACATTATAAGAACTGCTGGTTAACGTTTACCTTTGTGGTCACTGCCATCTCCGAACAGGTCAGCTGAACTGATGGAAGTGCTTCCAGACATGCTCTCCAGCCTCGTCTTTGCATCATACTGAGAGAAAGATGAAACAAAGGTCAACCATGAGGTAAGAACAGAACATAGTAAACAGATGACAGGTGACATGTTAATTACAAGCCTACAGAGGCCCTAGATTTGAACTGTTTTATAGTGAAATGAAGACGAGAAGGTTCTCACCTCAGCACTACTCTCCCGACCAAAGAACATGTCTGAGGAGATGGCCTTTGCATTGGCAAACTTCTGCCTGGCCTCACTTGACTCGGAAACTGAAGCTGAGACGTCGGCTTTTCTTCTGCTGGGGAGTCTGAGTTTAAGCATTGAGAACGTGCGTCAGAGCTGAGAGCTTTAGACAGAAGCTAAAGGACATGTATGTATTTGGCAAGTGAATATGTGTGTACCGCTCTCCAGTTGGTTGGATACTAGAGATGGTGACCTCCTCCTTGGGGTCATCTTTCTCCAGTGCCCAGGAGGTGGTGAAAGAGGCAGTTCCTCCTTCAGTATCCCAACGGGATCCAAAACTGTCTCCCACTGTAAATGGGTTGTCTTTGTATCTAAGATGCAAAACACAGTGGGTTATTAAGGGAGTGCACTCCGTTCTCTCTATGTTCTGTGGTAGATAATGAATCCATGATACATAAGTGGGTTCTGTGCGTACTTTGGAGGTCCAGAGGTGAAACCAGGCTCATCAAACATTTCCAGTTTGGAGCGAGAAGAGGACTTTGCTCCCACGGGCGTTTCCTGCTCGATGACCTGCATCTCTGACATCACTGAATGTGACACGGCACTGCAACAGGAAATAAATGCTCACATTTACAGACCTAACAAACAATTGGCATTCCTCTATTCTGCGTTAGCTTCCTGTGTTATGAGCAAAAACTATTATCAAGGTTCAAATTCAATTCAAGAACTTTTTAAGCACTTTCAAGGTCCATTTTCAAGCTTTTCCAGCACATTACCAAACAAAAGGCTGCCTTATGTGCATATACTGTATAATCTTAAACACACATTTCACTTAAAAATTAAGATGTGCAAATATGAACTAATCAACTTGTTAGCGATATTCATCTCCTGCTGAAAAAAAAAAGCCCCAAAAAACAAGAAAACTGCGCCAAACATCACAAAAGAATCCACATTAAGGCCAAATTAATAAGTCTCAGGGCACATAGTTGTTTCAAATAACGTTCAGATTTTTCACATAACAAGCAGCGAGGATTTTGTCCCTCATCATTTCCTCTGGAAGCACTTTATAAGGTGGTCTTTCACATGAACATTTTCCAAGTGGTAATCCTTAGCTCTTATCTGCTGCTATAAGCTACACTATATTGCATTTTTTTTGCATCCTGTATGTCGAGAATCTTCAGCTAAATTCTGAAACTGAAATGAAAAATGTGTTTACCTCCTGTTGCCGAAACCCATGCCCAGTCTCTCAGCCTGCTCTTTTTTCTTGCCTTGCAGATTCTGGAGCTTCTTTTCCTCCATCTTTCTGTCAATTTCCAGCTCTTTGTAGGCCAAACGCATCGAGGCAACACTGCAGCCGTCAGAACAGAATTTTAAACATTAGATTTTTTTTTTTTTTATTGGGAAAAACGTACAAAAGATCCATCTTAAACATTCATTCATTTGACTTAATTTTTATTACATGCTTTTCTTATTTTGCCTTTTACTGTGGTGGACGAGCATAAAACAAGGCCAAAGTTTTAAATAACGAGTATGCAGCGTGCTGTGAACACTGATTCAGTTTGTTTTTCCATTTACTGCTGGCTGTGTGTGACTCAAGCAAAGCTACTTTATTAACGTAAAACATAGAGGTGTGTGGCTGGAAGGAATAAAACGGTTTAGCATTAAAAAAATAGATGAATGAAAATAAGAGAGAGTATTTTTTCTTATTCTTACATGGATTCCTCGGCTTGTTTCTGAGCCTCCACGGCCTGCTCCTCTCTCAGCTTCTCAGCCACTTGTGCCTGCTTCTCCACCTCTGAGAAACTCTTATTGCTCACCTTCTGGGCACCGAGACCTTTCTTTGCACCGAGCTGCATCAGTAGGAAAACGTGGTTAAAGTGCGTCCTCAGCTTTAAGCTGATAACTCACAGAAGAGGGAATGTGAAGGAAAATTCATGATACTAACTTTTTGTCATGTTAGGAAATAAATAATCCTGAGCTTTTTTCAGCAGCTTCATGTGGTAGAGAAACAATGAAATATTTGTGGTTTGACTCACCCCTTTTTTAGCTGCCATGGGCTTCTTTTTCCCAATGATAGAAGGTTTCAGATCTGTAACACATGGGACAATGTCTTTTTAAAACACATTTACAACATCATTTTATCTCTCGAGATATTTTCACTCATGACTTCCGAAGTTCATTTGTAATTTTGTTGTTAGACATTAACAACAATAATTTACTCAGTGGACAATCCCCTCAGCTGTTTCAAAGTCCAGCTAGCTCTGATCCTTCCCACTGGAGACAGTCGCTCTTGTACTCCTCTACAGGTCGGATGCAAACTGCCACTGACTAGAACTCACAGCAGTTCACAGAGAACTGGTGCCAGTACTCTGAGCTCACCGATGCTTCAAACTGAATGGAGACTACAATCACCAGCTGCAGTCCAACATGGTGCAGCTGGAGCTGTGAGCTTCTCTCACCCCAACCAATCACAGCAGATGGCCCCGCCCCTTCCTGAGCCTGGTTCTGCTGGAGGTTTCTTCCTGTTAAAAGGGAGTTTTTCCTTCCCACTGTTGCCAAAGTGCTGCTCATAGGGGGTCATATGATTGTTGGGTTTTTTTCTTTGCATGTATTATTGTAGGGTCTACCTTACAATACAAAGCGCCTTGAGGCGACTGTTGTTGTGATTTGTAGCTGTATAAATAAAACAAATTGAAACTGACTTCTCACATTTAGCTCCATCAGACAATCTGCAGAGTTCAGGGCTCAGTATGCACGAAAACAGCTTCATCTGGCGCCAAAGCAAAGGTTAAAACAAATTTAAGAAATCAGTGCAGCAAAAGCGTTCTGCTCAGGTAAAGGCACCGCACCACAGCACTTAGACCTCAGGTTCACAAAACCAGCTTTTTTTGCATTCCAGCAAGAACATCGTGTTCAGTAATGCCAATGTTAGTCAGCCACTTTGCCCTCAGCAGAGTTACACATCCTGGTAACAATTTCAGAGTGACAGGCAGCAACTATCATTACAGACATTTAGGAAACTCTTTACTTTTCAGTCACATTACTGTGGTGACACAGACAATCTCAACAGCTTGGCAAAGTACGTAGTCGTTTTGCACAGTGTAGTAACTTTGAATTAAGTTTCACTCAATGACAATAAAGAGCTTTATGCTTGTCAAAGAGTATCTTGTTGAACAGCTGTACAAATAAGACCAGTGAGCTGATACTGTTTACATGACAGAGTAGGAGAAACAGGAGGTGACTGAGGAGATGTTAATAAAAGCAACAAAACCATGCGTCTGAGCTAGAAAGCAGCTGGTGCAAACTACACCCGCACGTATCACCTTGAGGTGTCCATCCTTCACGTGATGACAAACGCATGGAGTCCTCTAAAGAGCAGGACAAACCAGTCAGCACAAACCAGTCAGCACAGTCATAATGCTCATGTTCCAGATTACATTGCACTACCCGTGGTGGATATGCACACTCGACAGAAGCATTACAGAAGTGATAAGTCAAATCAGGAGAAAAATGAATTCATTAAAATTCAGGAACTCTTAATATGCAGTTCAACAAAAACAAGATTCCCATAAGAGCCACATACTGTTTCTGACATACGCTACTTAATATAAATACTAGTTTGTACTCGCAAATAATTCAATTATGAGATCATGATTCTTGGTAACAAGAGTACTAACTAATATATTAGATAAAATGTTTCATGTTCTCAATGATTTTAAAGACTTCACAACATCATTTTACTAGAACAGGAGGCTCAGCTTTCACGTGGAACCTGCTGTGTTTGGAGGCCCACAGCCTCTCTGCTTATAAAACTTGCTTTCTGATAAAGCTCATAGTAAGTGTTGCCCCTGGTGACCCTCAACCTTCCCTACATTATGCAGCTGTAGGCTCAGGCGGTTTTGTACCTTACATAAGGCACATTAATGATGGTTTTGTTGTCAAAAGAAATAAAACTGAGTTGAACTGAAGTGGAGAATGACCCACTATGTAAATGTGCATGTACTTCTATTGCACGATTCTACTTTGAGGAACACTGATTCATCTATTCAGACCTACTGATACTGTGCTTTATTAAAGGTGAACTACCACACACACACACTAATACTCTGACAGATGCATCAGGAGGTATTTAAAGTTGAGTATCTCGCCCAGGGACACTTGTGCATGTCGACTAGAAGAACCTGGGATCAAACCACAAACCTTTTGATTAGGATTCCTCCCACTGTAGCTCCCAACCAGCCTCACAGTACGACAGAAATATTCTAATCATTATGAATGAATGTGAATAATATGACTCGAAAGTGGGACAGTCTTCACGGGAACACAAAGACAAAAGGATGTATGGATACAAAAGTATAAACACAGTCGAAGCAGAGTAAGGGAAGCATCTATACACAGAAACATAAATGGCAACACAAAGAAAAACTACAGATAACAGCTGTGCAGTTACAGAAGAACAGAGGCTCTGTGAAGCTAATGCACTCACCAATGGCAGCTTTGGGTGATGTGCTCAAACCATCAATGCTGGGTCCTTCCTCTGGCTCTAAAAAGATAAAAGCAAAACAAGGTTGAAGCAAATTTTTCAGACATACTTACTGCATTTTTCTTAGTATTTATTTGCTGCATTCAAAACAGGATCAATGTGAAAATAAACAGTCATGCGAAAAAGGACGTTTACCCCCTTTCCATTTTAAGGCTTTAATATCAGGACATCAATAAAAGTATACTGTGTATAATGTGGTGTTGTTCATGTGAGGTTGTGTTGACTTCATTTCATAACTTTTTCTTTATTTTATTAACAAAAACTAAGCCAAAATGCAGAAGCACTGTGATTCCCACTGGTTTCAAAGGCATCAGCAGTTCCAGGTAAGATGACTAATCACTATGGGCACGTTCCAACCAAACTAACCAGGACGTGTCTTTTAATGAAGTAATATCTCTTTGAAATAAACAAAGTAACGACTCATTCATCCCATCACCTTTTCACACATCAGATTTAGTCACAGCTATTAGAGCTGCAAGTCTGCGTGTCTGCACGGTAGCAAGCACACCAAACACAATGAACCTGGCAATGCAACGCTGACAACTAAGATTCATTTTACTTACGGGTGTCATCCTGGCCTTTAGCAGCTGTGTTCGTCAGCTGCTGGGTGAGAGTGGCTCCGTTCTGCTCTGGCTCAGAGGATGGTGCAACGTTCCAGTCATTAATAGGCTGAAAAATAATAATAATAATAATAATAATAATAATGGATTGGATTTATATAGCGCTTTTCAAGGCACCCAAAGCGCTTTACAATACCACTATTCATTCACTCTCACAATCACACACTGGTGGAGGCAGCTACAGTTGTAGCCACAGCTGCCCTGGGGCAGACTGACAGAAGCGAGGCTGCCATATCGCGCCATCGGCCCCTCTGGCCAACACCAGTAGGCGGTAGGGTAAAGTGTCTTGCCCAAGGACACAACGACCAGGACAGAGAGCCCAGGGATCGAACCGGCGACCTTCCGGTTACAGATGCGATTCCCAACCCCCTGAGCCACGGTCACCCCATAAATGTCATTAAATTTAAAGAATGGATGCAACTTAAGCCTGTAACTTTAAATCTATACGTCTTTCACTCAGGAGATTTAAACTATACACAAATCATTTGTGGCTCACTGTTTAATCAGAAACACTTAAAATCTGACCAACAACAACATATATTTTATAAGCTGACTGTAATGATGAACTGTAATAATCCCACGTGGCAGTTATAAACCAGTCTTGAGAAGATTAGTCTTATTAACTAGTCCTATAACTAGTGACACTCTCAACACTTTAGTTACTCAAATGCTTTTGTTTGAACTTTAACAATGAGTTTGACACACACACACACACACACACACACACACACACACACACACACACACACACACACTTTTAATCAGCCTTGTATACCTAAAGCAGCATTTCCTATAGATTCATAACGGGGAAGGAGATGATATGCTCATCTGTACATTTACATACACACACGAGCATTTTCTCCAAGTGACGCACAAAATCTTATAAGAATTTTAATCATTATAATAATAATTTCAAAAACAATTCTGTCACAGATACAAAGCTTGGTGACTCTTAAGTTTTGTACGTTTGACATACGCTGAACACGACACGTGAAACAAACGCAAACGGAGAATAAGTCTCTAAACTAGCGGGGCTTGTGGAAACACAGACCCAACAGTGGAATTTATAGTAAGTATTATTTTAGTAGGAGACGGGGTGCATACAGACACAGCAAGTTTCTCTTCTGTAACAAATAACTAAACACTAACTAAACGTCTAGACTAACTAGAAAAGTCTCGGAAAGCAGCTGCAGATGGAAGTTCTTTCTCTGATCTGCAGTTTTCCACCTGATGCACGTTCAGACTTTAAATAAGCACCAGAGCAGAAAAAGAACTGCCTCAGAACTGCAGGCCAGTGGAGCTGCAGCACTCTGCTGCAGAAGCAGATAACGAGCACCACCACAACAGTGACATGGCCAGTGAGCCAGAGAGTAGTGAAACACTGAAAGATGGAAAGGGCCATGGTTAGCTGGTTAGAAATGACTTAACTACAACTAAGAGAGGAATGGAGGCCACTGTTCTGTGCACTGTAAAAGAAATGCTAAAATGAGTTGCTAATTAAACCTGGAATGTCTGCGTGAGGAACACTATAATATTGTAGACGTGATTAAACAACATGCTGTGACATTAAAAGCACCAGAAACAAAAACAAACCTGGGTGTGTTCATCAAAAAAGTCTGTTTCTTTCTTGTCAGAAGCTGCAGGCGTGCCTCCTGAAGACGAGTCAATCCAAAGCTGCAACAGCAAAAAGGAAAACTTGTGTTGTAAATTCAAAAGCTTTTCATATTTTTTGAAGTAGAGTAGATCCTGAATTAATGATGGTTTTGTTTATAAAACAAAAGGATGGTCATTGGTTCGATCCATGGCTACTTGAGTCTGCATGTCAGAGTACTTGGGAAAGCCACTGAATCAAATGTTAGACAAGGTATATTAATGATCTGGTGAATGAAGCTTGTAGTACTTTCAGTGCTCGGTTACAGTAAAAGTCCATTTACCATGTACTTTGAACTAGAACTGCCACATGGCTCAAACACTAATAATTCTTTTATCACTGAGCCTCAATGTACCAACAACTCATTAAACTAGGAGCACGCAAGCCTACGCAGAAATAATAACATCTGCAGTGACGCAAACATTTCCTAAACGTTTTCCCTTCATTGATACTCACGTCTGTGCCATATTTAGACAATGCAGCATTTGCTAGCTGTCGAATCTTCTCTCTGTACATCTGGGCAGCACGACTGTTATACTTGGCATTGGTGTCGTTTGTGGAGCAGCCATGCTGGCGGAAGAATGCCGTCTTCAGATTAAAAAAACAGAAATGACATTTCAGAAGAATTAGAAACCACAGACGTGTCGTACCAGAAAGCCACACCTCACAAAACATGGCTCATTTAGGTAAAAGACAACAATCGTTTTGTTTTTTTATTTGAGAAAAACCTCATTACGCTTGGTACTCAGGTTCAGACTTACCGCATTGGCGTTACCTCCAACCTGCATACACCTAAGTTGAAACCAGTTCCAGTTGGAGTCTAACTCAGTGGATCTGCGGAGGAAAGGGGGACAATGTGGAAAGTCAACATGGACAGATTTACTAACAGTCTTTCCCAGAACAAAACCCTCCTTCTGTGTTAAAATATCATAAACAGACACATTTTTAGATCAGCTACAAAGCTGAGGTACAATGAAGTTTACCTGATGAAACTGAGATGCACTCCCAGTGAGCGGTGGATGCCAGAGCAGTCGATGCACAAGAAGACACCATATGGAATACTTGCCCAACTGGGGTTTTTGGCAGCACAGTCAAAACATACCTATGCAGACAGAACATCAGCATTTTAATGAAACATTTCTGCCTCGACCAACCCACGTGGTCACAGTCCATTACATTTTCCTGCTGCTAATCGTGCAATATGAGCAAGAGAAGCAACATCATCACCAGATAATAATGTTGCCAGTCAGTTATATTTAAACAGCTCGTTTCAACATTCCTGAAGACTTTCTCATTGAATTTACTGTCACAGAAAAGCAGCAATGACATAGTTTAACATGGAGCTGCTGAGTGTTTACACACCGCGAAGAGCCAAGAGGTGGAGCATTTTTCAGACTGAAAGTGAAATAATGTTAAATATTGTATTAATTTCTATTAATCGATTATTAATATTAATTAATGTCTCTACACCATCATATTGTCTGTTTTCAGCAGCACAAAACTTTGCCTCCTATTAATGTCAGAATAGCTTCCAACAACACAGAATAAGGGTAACATTTTCATGCCATAGTTTAGATCGCGCATGTCTAATTTTATTTATTATTTTGTTGTTTATAATGTTGCATGCACTTCCTTAGAGATGTAACTATAAATTGCATTTATCAGCCCAAAATGCCTGTGATTGGCCTGTTCAGTATAGTCAAGTCCAGCAGTGCATTTCCAATTTTTCAAATTGACTATAAAAGAATGGATCAACTCCAAAAGAGCTGAAAACCACCAAACCTGCAGACCTCTTTTAGGGTTGGGAAATGAAACCTAGAATTTCTAATAATGACTTCTTCAAATGTTGATGGCATTTAATCACAATATTACTGAACTAAAAGGGTTCTCCACCCAAAAAACACAACAACTCCTGTGTTTATTACGTCCCTGCATGTCATTCTTTCTTGTCTATAGCTTAAAAGTTTTTTAATGAATTCTAATAAAATTTTGTAGGTGTGTACACTCTGGCATTATTATCACTTTGAGCTTCAGATCGATTTATTGACTTTCAAGGAGATGTCAGAGTTCTAAAATGACATGATATTCTTGCTGGTAATGTGAAGTAACATGTATTCATAAAGAATTACATAAAAACTATTACTACATTACTACTGCAGTAAGGGCATTACTGCAAAACTCCTGTGGTGACTAAAATCTCAACTAAAATTAAAAAAGCAAAAAATAAATAACTTCAAAACTCGACTTTGTGCTTTGCATTGAAAAAACATACAATATATACAGTTGTTAAAATGAGAGAGAACTTCTGGTTGGCTTCATTTTCCAGCTACGTCCAGCTTTTATAATGGGATAAAATGCTGATGCTTGGACTTTCCAACACCACGTTTCATAATACTTCTGTGAAGTGCGTTTCAAAACATCCATCCACGTCACGCACATGGCTGCCTGAGGTGTGTTTCACCCATTTCGACAGAGCTTTTGTGTTGCTTCTAGGCAGGCAACGTGCCAGGAAGCACAATTTCTACAAAGCACAATAATGAATGAATGAATGTTTTTGACATTACTGCTTCCATTTCTACTACTACTATAAGCACATGTATACAAGAAAACGATACCCGATCTCTCATTACTATCTTTGCTGTGGATTGTAAAGACCGATATAGATGATCAATTTACTTAGAAAATTGTACTGCACAGTATAATTGAAGAAATGATATTCAAATGATTACTGTCATATATAGAGAGTCGCAGTGTACTGTTCATTCATTAAATGATGTCAATGAAAAACACATGCTTTCAATGAAAAAATAAAAACGCAGACATTTACAGCTCTGACTGTAATCTATTATACTTTTTCTGCCTTTAAAGAAAACGTTGTTATCAAGTGACTTCATCTTCACTCTAACCTGTTACACACTTGCTGCACATACTGTTACATACCTGTTCATACTGCACTGCTAATATGAAAACTAACAGAGTAGTTAAAAGAAATCAAACGAAATCTCATAAACTTGCAGGGTCATATAGCCCAAACGCCTGACTCGGAGTAAGTAAAACATCATTCCTGTGTAAAAATAAATAAATAAAAATAATATTGCTTATGTATTTCCGTCACTTTGAACGCTTAATGACTTTACAGTGCCATCGTCTTTTATAATCTAATTTTAAACTATACTGTCACTCTGTAAACCGTTAGCTAGAACACCTACCGAACAAATGACTGTAAAACCGAAGTTCTGACTGACAAACGTTATGGAGCGCCAACACATCAGACTCTGCTAGCACTAACAGATACTTATCAATGAAATGAGTCAAATTTCACGGCTTTCAAAGCAAACCTAACGACCACGACTAAATGAGTCCCCAATATCGGACATATAGAAAGTTTAGTCTATTTAGTTCACGATTCTCCCATAATTTTCCCGACGTGGCACAGCGGAACAAGTTAGCTTCCTTAGCTTACACATACGTGGCCTTTATGTTAGACTACTTTACCGGTAGGCTAGTAGTCATTAGCTTTTGCTAGCTGTCTTACCGTGTAGCCGGGCCTTGCTAGGTGCTAGAACACGACTAGCTTCCCAGGTAATTTCTCCTGTCCAAAGCTAATCATGGACTGCCAGTATAAAAAAGCCTCACAAAGTAATACACAAGCAATGATGGTGAGTATTCGGTTACCTTGTTGGTAGGAACAGATCTTAATCTTTTGAAAATGGTAAGGATTTCGGTCTTATTTGGTTCCGTAGCCATCTTGACACTGACGATTTCTATAAGCTGACGTCACTACGGCAACTAGTGTGGCCCAAAAACCAAAAAGGTGAAAAGTCACCCGTGGTTCACCAACTTTAAAATAAAACAAGTCGATTAATTATCACATTTTTAAAAAACCATTTTCATTCGCACAGCATAATCAGCATTATGTTCATAATAGAATCAGTACATACCCTTGGAAAAAATGCATACAGTCAAACATGTCATTTAATGTAAACAAAACAAAACAAAACAAAACAAAAAAGTTAGAAGAAAAGGCTTCTATAAACATCCTCAAGGAACAAAATAAACATCAGAAGAAACTGTCATATGTAATGATGACTGACAAAGTAGATATACCTGTATATATCCAATCCTATCTTTTACTATCTATCTATGCATATGTATATAGATAGATTGGTCATCATCACATCACACAATATGCAATCATAAAAATCAGCACAGTGCAAAATAAATGACTTGACTTGATCATTTTGACCAGTGGGTCAAATACAGATTGTGTCTTCATCATTCTAGCATATAAAATCATTTTCACATAATACAACCACATAAAACATTTCTGATGGTCTGATGAGATCAGGTTATTCTTGTTAGTTCATTCCCCGCCTCTTCTGTCCCAGGGATTGAAACTGGCTGAACAAGATTTTGCACATACAGATTCTTTCAGACATCATGGAGGCAGGTGTATTTCTCCTGCTGCTGTTCCCATTGTTGGGGATTGGGTCGACTCTCAGCTTTTATGGAGACAGCATTAGTTTCATGGCTCCGGAGAAGGAAATGGATGGGACATTTAAGGTAATACAACATAAGTATATATGCTGAAACGTTCACTATATTCTTTTAATATTGAGATTTATCATGATATTGAAAGATGGGCAATATGGATCACAACACAGATTAGTTTACACTGAGTGTAATAATGCATATTTTTAAAGTAGTGGCATTTGCAAAAAGATCCTTTTTAAAAAAAAAAGAAGAAATTAAGTAACCATACAGCCACGTCGCTAGTTCTGAAGAAACCTAATTGGAATGCAAAACACTTGCATACAATCCAAACTCTTGTGATGAAGAAAATAGTTAACACTTTCATGCATGTTGTACAGTAATTTCAAAGCTTTTCAATATTTTTGTGAGTAAAAAACTTCAGAAATCCCAAATGGTGGACAGTAATGAAAATGTGCCATCTCTGTATCTGTTAAAAGAAATATACAAGAAATGTGGGTTCATTTGTCTTTATTTTCTGTCAGTTCTTGTGTTTGGACACATTCATTTTTGTAGTTAGGGTTCTGTGATGTCACCATGTCTAATTAAATGCAATCTAAGACAGGACAGGAGGAAGACCAACATATAGAGTGTGAAACAGTTAAAAACAGAAGAAATGAGGTTTTACATTTTTGTTTTTAATTGGGAATTTTATTAATTAGTTTATCAAGCATCACAGAGCTGAAAACATGGAGGAAATACATTTACTTTCCTTCTCCTTTTTGCTTTTTGTTTATTAAGAAGTGATAAAACGAGATATTTAAAATCCCTGACTAAAACCTTTGACTCTGAAATGAAGCAACAGGTTTAAACCTGGTTTTATCTGATGTTTACATTTCTGTTCTGAAAACTAAAGAAATCTGGTCCTTTCAAAATACAACTATAGAATAGCTTTCACAGATGTTATAGTTTCTACATTTATAAGCATGCAAGAAACAACAATGACTTGGGGAACAGGGGTTAGGGAGTTGTTGTTATTTATGATTTCAGCCCCACAAAAGTTGGTTTGAAATCATGAAGGAAATTGTTCAAAAACTTGGGGGAAAACTGTATTGACTTGAATATGCAAACAATGCAGATTTTTACAATGTGCACAGAAAATGTATTATTTTTTTTAAACCCTCTAGGTGACCTTTTATCACCGGCAGAATGGCAAAAGTAACTGTCAGGATCAGTCATCTTTCTCATGTGATAGTGGCGTATGTACAGGCTTTAACGAGTCGAGTGTCCTGCAAACAGACCAGGACAGCACAGGCCAAGGCCGCTGGTGCCAGTCTGAAGGACACACAACAGCAACCATCCTGACTAATAATGCCTCCTTTTCTCTGAGGTAAGTCCAGGGCACAATAACACAGCTTATCTGATTTATCGTTTGCTAGTTACTCTGGCGTATCTCACAGACTGAATTGAAGATTGTATTTAACAAGCATGATCTAGTACAACTTAAAAATGAAGAAGTTGAGAAAAGTCAGCCCACTTGCAGTGGGATCCGTAGTAAGTGGACTCGTACTGAGGACTGGCCGATTCATTCTGAATTGTTACCCTATTATTTATTCTATAGGCTGATCAGAATTGATCTTTACTTTGAAAAACGATCTCTAATAACAAAGGCTTAAAATGAAAGTACATATCACACCCTGCATTTCCCACAGCACAGTATCTGTCAGTGTTGATTTGAGAAGTGATATTCATCTTCTCATTCCACCACGCTTGCTGGGACACTTGAATAGAACACAAGTTTGGCATTTGGAATATTTTTGTTGGTATGACAGCCCAGCCTTTTATGAGAAACGTCTGTCTGAACAAATAAAAGAACAAAACAGGGAGTTAACTGTAGGATCAGAATGGTAAAGGGATTAGTATAGTGCCTTTCTATTCTCACACACACACATTTAGATGTTGCTTTTAACGATACTTAAGCACATTTACGCTCACTCACACTACGACGAATGCATCGAGGGCAGCTTCGGGTTCAGAATCCTGCCCAAGGACACTTCAACACATGGACAGAAGCAGCTGGGGATCAAGCCACTGACCTTCTGATTGGTAGACGACCTGCTCTGCTACCTGATACACAGCTGCTCCATATCAGCTCCTCATATTTTGGAAACACCAACAAATCAGGAATAAATGCAAGTTTGTCTTGTAGTGATGTCGACATTGAGGAGTATCTTCACCAAAATACTCTCTTATCAAAGATGCATATAAAATCCAGACCAGACAGAGTTTTTTCACTTCTCAGATGGCAGCCATTGTTGGTTCAAGTGACGAGTATAATTACGAGCAATGAAATGTTTCACCTCCTTTTCAGGGACTCTGGCTGCTGCTGGGTGTCTAATGTTGAAGGGAAAACCCAGTGGACAACATATGCTGAGCTGGACCTGGGAACTCGATCTGATACGCACACTGTCAACAGCTGTCCCGTAACAACAACAGTGTCTTCTTTGCGGTACATGCCATTTTTCTTATTTGATTCAACATAAAATCGTGAATCTGGAAATCTTACGTAAACATCACTCGATGATTAGTTGTTAAATTACTGTAATATGTACTAATATGATGCCTGTTCTTGCAGGGTGCCTCAAAACTGTTTTTCAAGGATTCGTATTCTGGCACATGATCCAGATGGAGATGAAGTGAAATGTCGCTTTGCTACATCTGGTCCCACAAACTTCGCTCTAGACGAGGTAATCCAGACCAAACGGGGGCTCTAATGACCTTCAATGTGGTCATCTGATGTAACAATCATTATAGCATTATAATCCACTAATTTTAGGCACAGCTATATATTAATCAAAATGTTGGTTTCATCAGGCCAAAACCCATATTTTTTCCTGTTGCATCCATTGTTGCGTATGGATGTGAGAATGATCAAATTCTCGCAAAGAATAAAGTGAATGCCTGAGTGTATATGGCTCGCACTGTGGAAGACCTTTTTAAATGGCCAGTAAGACGAGATGAGTGCTATTATGAAAAACAGACAATTACCATCAAATGTTATGCAGCTGTTAACCCTTCTTATGGGAAAGATGGGTGTCAATTAGTGTCTGGCACCAGGACACTGGCAGAAGAGTCTCTGGGTCCTGTTGTATTATCACAGTTTGTTCTTTGTCACAGTGCAAAATGTATAAAAATGTACTTGTACATAGTGCATTTCTAATCAGTGAGCTACAGTGATTAGGTCAGGGCTATTTATAAAGGTAACATACTTAATGGACGCAAGGTTTCCCATTGCATTCATCAAGATGAGCAATAATTTATCTTTCAGTGGTTTTAATGCTTTGATTGATCAGTATGTTCTGCATGTTGACAATATAGTTGATGTAATAGATACAAATTTATAATAAACCCATTAAAAAAAATCAAATAATTTAACCAACTATCTCCGTTAAGCTCATCTTGTAATCTCATTACAATCATTTGCATTTGCTTACTTGCAAAGAGAGAGAATGAAATCTTTTTTTTTAAACTTTAAAAATGTGTAAAAGAAGATTATTGTTATGCTTTAAGCATAAGATCAGCTCTAATAGTATGCCTTTGGATTTATTAGAAGCATGTGTTTATGCACTGATAATCTGAAGGACCTAAGGGGTGAATCACATATAAGTTAGCAGAAGTAGAATAGAACTTGTGCCGACTAGGCAAGTGATAAAAGAAAAGAAACACAAAACTGACCAAATACAAAACAGATGACTACTTTGAAGTACTCGAATGATGGTAGGACAAGGGCACACAGGAGATCAGGTGATGCAGCAAACAGGAGTGACTAGGGGTTGGACCAGATGAAACAGAAGAAATGAAACCAAAAGCAAAACGGTGACATAGTAACTATGTTTGGAATCCCGTCTGTTCCAAACTGATGTGTTTAATAAGCTCTGAGAAAACAGCACCTCTGTCATGTCCATTTGTTATTCGTGTCCCTTTAGACTACATGCATACTGACAAGTACAGGTGACATTGAGACTGGAATCCACGTGTTTGAGTTGATGTTAGAGGACTTCTCCACCAACAACATCACTTTGACCTACTCAGATGGAACCTCGGTGTTTCGTGAGGCCTCTGGCATGAACTCACCTCCTCTCTGCAAAGTAAAGCTGCAGTTCTCAATTGAGGGTAAGTGATTCATAAAAGTACATGGTCAGTGCGACACAAACATAATACACGTCTCACCCCAAAAATACTGAATATATATAAACACAAGAGGAATATCATAAACAAAGTCATAAATATCACAAAAACTCCACAAGGTCATGTGAAAAAGGTATTTTAAAACATTACCATTAAAACTTTGTGGTTTGGTGATTATAAAAACCAAAAAAATAATGACTCAATACAATGAGTCCCAGCCTCCCCTCGAATCATCTTTTATTTGTGTTATAAGAGTTTCTCACATGGTGTAACTTGTATATTGTATTCTGATCTTTCAGTTGAAAACAGCAACAAGTCTACCTATCATTTAACCCTGTTTATTAAATGTACTAAATAGTCTAAGAATATAAGAGTATACAGTTTAATATAAAATAGTATAATAGTTTAATAAATATTCAACCCAAGTGAAATTTAAGTACCCGGTACAGTATTTGGATACATTTGTTTACTTTAGCTTCCAAAGTTGCTTCTAATGAACATATCGCTTTAAAACCTGAACCATGAAATAACTGCCAGAAATCTTTACATTTTTGATAATGAAGTGTTTGTTGAATCTTTAGACAAAATATATAAAATTTTAATCTCCACATATGTGAGTTTTAATTTGTATCACATTTGCTACATAAGCCATATTTTTGCAATTTAGTGCTTAAAAACGTGTCATGCAATTTAAGGTAGAAGTAAAAAAACAAATCACGCTGATGATGTAAAAGTCTCAAAAACACGTATCAAATATGACACGCTGGGCTTTAAAGGGTTACATTTAAATAAACAAAGAAATTACCTATTTTTTTTTTCTTAAGTTACACTTTGTCTCTGAAAAACTCAAATATGTTTCCTTTACGTTGGTGCTGACACAAGCAAGAGTCATTAATATCAGCAAAGCAAGGTTAACTGACTGGATAATTTATGACTTAACTGGCAGCTTGAAGACTGTCTCACGTTTTATTCTGATGTGGTGACTGACCAACCAACTCTAACTCAGAGAGGCCATTGTATGGCTGCACAATACCAGAAACTGTCAAGTCTCATAGAAACAAAACTTACATTCTTTCTGCCTTGTTTGTGTTTTAGTTCTCCTGCCAATACCAAACTGTGAAGCCGGTCATGTGCAGCCCATATTCTTGTACAGAACCCCTTCACACGGTGATATTCTTCATGCCACTGTGGGTCAGACATTCCAGCTTAATGCTGAAGCTGAAGCTCGCCATGCCAGGTGTTTACTTACTGAAATTATTAATTATGGCACTAGCTTTCCCTAAACAAACACCCTGTTATGTTGATATAATACTCAGAGAATTTCTGTGGATTTTGTGTGTGTGTGTGTGTGTGTGTGTGTGTGTGTGTGTGTGTGTGTGTGCGAGTGTAATGTTTATTCCTTTCCCTAAAGCATCCACGACTTCCAGGTCAGTGGCCCCCAGAACATGACCAAAGTGTTCAAAGACGATGTGCTCGGAAAAGCAGAAGTCACTCTCAGCTGGACACCACAGCTCAGTGACCTGTACAGATATGTCCCAGTCTGCTTCACTGCAGAGACAAATGACACGTGAGTGCCTTTATATAAAATCAAGCATTTTAAAACAATAAAGATTATTCACAAATGGAAAAAAAGGTAGACAGACGCCAATCTTCTCAGGAATACAGTAAATGTCCAAGGAAAATCATCCCAAAGCCAGACAATTCTCAGAGTGAAAAATTATAGCTTGCTTGGAAGGACTGGCAACACAGCTGCAAAGTTGTATGTGAATAAGCCATACAACTTCTGGAGCAGTGTTGTTTAGACAGATGACACTAAAGTGGAGATTTGCTGAAACCCAAACACAGCATATTAGTAAAAGTGCCTCAGAACCATCAAGCACAGTGGGGAGAGCTGATGATTGAAGATGTTTTTGTAGCCACAGGACCTGGGCACCTTGCAGTCTTAGTCAACCATGAACTCCTTTGTATGTTAAAGTGTCCCAGAGTCAAATCTGACAATCAAAGCTTGGTGAAAACTGAGTGAAACAACACAATGATCCCAAGCACAGTGACAAAACTACAGCAGAATGGCTGAAAAAGAAAGAATCGTAGCTCGGACCACTACTCCATTGAAGTGCTGTGGTGGGACCTTACGGTTTTTCTTGATTGCTTTGACACACAGCAGGAAAGTCCTTGTCACCACTTTGATGCAGCACATTTCCTCGTACACATTACACATTGTCACACACTGCTGTTGTTTCCACACATATTTTACTACCATGTTGATGCCCTTCTCACTTGAATCTACAACTCATCAAAACAGTCACAACTCTAGATCGGTCACTACTTCCCTGAAAGAGTAGTAATCTGGCCATTCTGCTGCTCACTGGATATTTTCTCATTTCAGACCACTCCCTATAGACCCTAGAGATTGTTGTGCGTTAGCACATCGTACATCAACGATGTCTGAAAACTCACACCGGTCTGTCTGTTATCAGCAGCCATGCCATGTTCAGTCATCCTTCAGCAGACTGTCTTCACCACGTCTACATGTATAAATGCTTTGAGTTCGTGTTGATGTGAAAAGTTGATTAGATATTTGGATCACTATAATAAGCAGTCTTCAAGTCAACATTACATTTAAGCTTGCTCTTTCCATATTTTCACTTAAATATCTTCTTTCTTTTTTTGTCATTAAGCCAATCAGAGATGAGGTGTGTTGTTGTCTTGGTGACCCAAGCATCTACCACACAAGGTTAGTAAACACCTGCTCTCTCTCTTGACAAATGAGCAGTGCGTGTAATAACTAAGTGCCATGGCAACAGCACAAACACTGCTGGCCATTTGTTCACTTGTGGTTCTATTTTGCTTCCCACGAAACCTCTTAAAGTGACAGTACTCTCTCTTAAAACAATACATAAAAACAAAACCTAACCAACTTTTAAAACAGTGTTTTTCTTCTGTTTATGTCCATTACATAAGTAAATGAATTGTTTGTTTGCATTTTCTTATTCAACCTGATTTCCAAAAGATTTGGCATACTGTAAAATAAGATAATTTTGAATGAGTAAAGTTGGGACAGGGCAATATTTACATCTGTGTAGAATTTCCTCCTTTTTTAACAGTCCCAAAGATCAGTTGTTAGGAGTGTTGTCCCAGTCTTCTCTGATATATGATTCTAACTGCACGACAGACCCACGTCTCATTTGTTGTGTGTTTCACTTCCTGTTATAACAAATGTATTTAGTTGGTAACTGCAGGCAGGCCAGTTCAGCACACAAACTCTTCTGCTATGAAAGCATTGCCGTTGTAATATATACAGGATGCATCATAACCTCTGTGTTGTTCAAATATATATGACCTTACCTGGAAAACATGTAATCTGTGTGGGAGCGTGTGCTGGTCTAAAACCTGTTTTTAATGTAATATTACCCCGAGGGCTTAGAGATCACAATCTTTCAATATCTCAGCAAGAATCTGAGTTTTCTCCAGATCCTTTTCATCTTTTAATATTATGTACTGTAAATAATAACAAATTTGGCCCGCAGCCTAATTACATTTGGCCTGCGAAGCCATACCAAATTACTATTAGAGCTGGCCTACTGGTATTATACAGCTAATATATATATTGTTTAGTATTAAGCTTTGCTTGTTCCATATTCAGTTTTTCAGCAAAACGTGTTTGAGTCCATAAGAAAAGATTCATTCTTATATCTGGAGGAATAAATTTTTCAATAAATATTAAGTTAGCCCGCGACTTTGTTCCAGTTTTGAATTTTGGCCCACTGTGTATTTGAGTTTGACACCCCTGTAAGCTCTAAAAGTTATCTCTAGCTATTATTTTTGTCGCCCTGTCTCTACTTTTTGCTGCCATCAAATTCAGTATCAGCTAATATTTGTCCTAAAATAGTAAAGTGGATCAGTTTAAACATGTAACATATTTTCATTGTGATTTTTTTTTTTTTGGATTTGCAAATCACTCCCTTTTGTTTTCAGTTTACATGTTACACAGCACCTAGGCTTTTTTTTTTTTTTTTAAATTGTAAATCGAGGTTATAAATATACTGAATAAAATGTTTCATTTCTTAGATTCTTTTAAATAATGTAAATAAATGCGTTTATAAACCCCTTTTACAAGTATAAGGTAAATGTTAAACACAGTTTGAGATGTAAATGCATACATGTTGGATATTTTAGATTTTGGTTTCAGTCCAGTATAATTTAGTGGTTTTCTGCTAGTTCTCTTCACAAACTGACATAAATTAACCCAAAGATATTTCCTGTACAAGTTTGTTTTAGTTTGATTTCAATATTATCTTTGTTATGTTTCAGTTTTATTATCTAATTAATATTGTTATTTTGCAGGTTTTTTCACATTTATTTGTAGCTTTTAATTTAATTATAACATTGACTCTTATAACTAAGTAAAATCACATTTGTTTCTTTGCTGTTTTCTTTTTTCCTTTGTTTTCTTCTTTTATAATAGATTTTTATTTATTTTTTAATGATTTTGAATATGAATATGTAGTAATCGTATGATAAAATACTTTATTCCTAATAGGTAGCTAATATAGATTGTGCTGTTTACAGGCAAGGCCACTGTTCATTGCTCAGCCAATAAGATGACAGTAGCCCTTGATAAAGCTTCCATGCCTGGCATTGACGAGAACTTTCTCAAGCTGAGTGATCCTTCATGCTCGCTCACCTCCAACAGCACTCACATCATGGGTGCAATGTCCTTCAGCACTTGTGGGACAAAAATTGAGGTTTGGAGAAACATTTACATTTCTTTGTAGATAAAAATGTTTTTTTCATTAATAAAAAGCAAAATTTGAGTTTGTACAATAAGCCAGTTACTGTACGTCGCAACGAGAAGAATATTGCGGCTCGATACACTGAACAGAACAACATCACGACCGTTGTTCATTATCCTCACGGCAACTAATTGCTTTTCCTTTGTTTGTCTTAAATACAGGATAAAGGTGATTATATCATTTTCAAGAATGCGATCAACTCCTTTGAGCTGGCTAACGAGGTTATAACTCGAAGGAAGACAGTTAAAATCGGTTTCTCATGCCAGTTTCCCAAAGCCATCAGCATCTCCAATTACTACAATCTCCACAACGCTGACTACATTTTCACCGAGTCCAACTTCGGAAGCTTTGGCTACACTTTTGAAATTTTCCACAACAGCAGCTTTACAAACAGAGTGGAGGCTAGTGCCTATCCAGTACAAGTCAAGCTGCTGGAGACTATTTTTATGGGCATCCAAGCTAGTTCAGAATTACCAAACGTGATGTTGTTTGTTGAGTCATGCAAAGCCACTCCTGATAACAACCCTGAAAACAGCCTCTCGTACTACATCATCAGGAATGGGTAAGTGCTGATGCAAAAAAAGTGCTGTAAAATTTAAAAAATGCTTAAAATTCCTTACAACTAAATTGTTGATAATATTTTCAGAGGAGTGTATGTTAGCTACATTAAATAGCAATACTAATTACTACAACTTACAACTATTAAATGTCATCTTCCATTTACATTGCTTCATACCATTGACCTAAACCTTCTTTCAGGTGTGTAGAAGACGAGACAGTAACAATTTACCCATCTAATAAAACTGCATTCAACTTCGGACTTCAAGCCTTTAAATTTACTGGAAACTATGACCAGGTAACTTTAGATAGCACCAAATACAAACCTCTAACCTATACAAAAATATTACTCGCACAGTTATATACTGAAGAGTATATGCATAACAAAGAAAATCCTGATATCACTGCTTTCCTGCTGTTTTGTATCCAATTGCCAAGTGTGAAAAAGCTTGAAAAATTATTTTGGTACAGAATCAGCAACATTTTTAAACTTTGACTAATAACTATATACAGACATAACAAAGTTACCACTGACAAGTGAAGTGAACAACACTGATATCACTTCATGCCATCTGTTCGTAAGGAGGAGACATTTGGGAGCAAATGAACATTTTGCCTTCAAGTGTAAGGATTTGAGCGAGTTAGAGAAGGGCCAAATTGTGATGGCTAGAACATTTCCAAAATTGCAGTACTTATTGGGTTATTGGTTTGATTAAACAGACAAAAGTCAAAAGTGCATGGCAGTTTGTTGAGTATTGGGGATCTGATCAGTCAGGGTGCCCATGCTAAACCCCATCCATCACTGAAGGTGCCAAGAATGGGCACGGAGCAATGGAAGAAGGTGGCCTGGACTGATGGCCGGGTGCCTGTGCGTCACCTACCTGGGGAACACCTGGCACCAGGATGCAGTATGGGAAGAAGGCAAGGCAGAGGCAGTGTGATGCGACAGACAATATTATGCTCGGAAACCTCGGGTTCAGTGAGACTGATTAGACAGTTGGATGAGTGATGAAAACTTTCCGTACAGGTCAGTTCTGCTTTGGCAGCGAAAGGGGGACCAAGACAGTATTAGGGAGGTGGTCATAATATTACGCCTGATCAGTGTACATGCAGTTTTTAAGTTGTGGCAACTACCTGGAAGCATTTCAAGATGGGTAACTGGTGGTTAGACAAGTGCTTGTTATTCCAAAGCCTTTACTCTTCCACATTACAGGTGTACATCACGTGCTCTGTAATCCTGTGTGAGCCTGAGAGTCCCTTTTCCAGATGTGCCCAGGGATGTCTGAAGGATCCATCACGCAGACGTAGGCGAGGCCTGAGCGGGGAGACGGGTAGACACTACATTACCCAGGGCCCTCTGCAGTTTGTTGGGCAGCCTTTTCCTGATACAGCAGAGAACAGTCAGGATGTTCTGATGGAGAGGAGCGGCACGCTTCCAGAAGGTTAATCCAAAATGTATCAATCTACCTGTTTGATTGCCTCTCTGCCTCCTTACTTGCTTGCCAGCTTGTCCAACTATCCATGTATTGATGTCTTTCAGTGAGTCCTCCACCAGCTTCTCCAGGCACAAAATCAAGTGAGGAAGGTTGGGAAATGAGGAAGATCTTCAGCTCCAACATCTCCACCGCAGTCTTTGCCAGCGCCTTCTTAGTGTCAGTGGTGCTGTTGGGCATTATGGCTCGTTACTACAGGAAGAACGGAAGAGCAGAAGACCGCAAAGTTCTCATAGCTTCAGAATGGAAGAACTAAACCCAGTATTTACTCACAATTGTGTTTGTCTCACTTTCACATGATCACTTTCTTCAAAGTCTGTCTTAAAACAAAATTGCATCAAAAGCTGCTAAACAACCCTTAAAAACATCTTTTCATCTGAAAAGATGGCAGACACCAGTCCTGCCAAAATACGCTCAAATACTGATAGCTATTATGAAGCTTTGAAGTTGTAAGTAGTCAAATATTTAAGTGAGTATCTTCTACTGTTATTCTTTATGTGATCTTTGATGGGATAATAACATGAATGGGTAAAAACGAATTTAGAAGATGCTCGTTTGATTTGAACTGCACTGTTAATATTTTGTGTGTGGACAGGTAGTAGAGTCAGAATTCATTTTGGATGAAGGCTTCACTAGGCGGCAGCAGCAGAGCCTTTCTACAATTGGTCCATGACGGTGGGACTTTAAGACAGACTTGCTTAATTATCTCTTTTTATTAAGGTGATTAGTCTATATGTGGTGTCGTGGTCGTCTAGTCCTCTAGACAAAATGATTAGTTCTGATAGGGGTTGCATGGTAACATATCTAATACCTGTGCACTCACCAAAAGGCACAGGCTTTAAAGTAATGTCAAGAACAATTTATGACAATTCACGACCTTCAGTTCAAAGCTCGTCTCAACAGATTAGTTAGAACTTCAAAGCAAAACTGGTTTTGCCAGATTTTTTCATGCCATTGTAGCATCAACTTTCTGGAAACGTTCTGATTCTCAACAAAAGCTGCCGGCTTCTCGGCCAGAAAGTGTCTTTTAGCAACTAGTTTATGTACTTTATAGGAGCTTTGTTCTGTTTGTTTTCCTTTGCTTTTACAAAACATTATTGTTTAAGAACCGATAGTGGTTTAGGCTAAATATTTTGTTTAAAATACTAAGAGCTAAAAGCCTGCATGTTGAAAAAATCCCCTAACACTCCACTAGATTTGGTTCTCTTTAATTTAGACATACGTTTTCATAACTTTAAACAAAGAGTGAGATTAGCTGCAGGTTCTGTGTTGGTGGCGGCGAGATTGGGGATTGTTTTGGCTTACATAAAAGAAATGGCCATCCTTCAAAGACAACACATTAATGTCTGTAATGTCTGAAAGTGTAATAATATGTAATTCTGTCATTTAAATGGGATTTATTGGCAATAAATGGAATGCACTAGATTTAAATTCTACTTGAAATTGAAATCGCATAATAAACACAATACTGGGTGTGTATGCGTGTGGTTTGTTATGAGTTTTCATTTATTTTATATAAAATCTGTTATTAAGTGGGCTTGTTTATTTGGACATGAATGAAAATCCAAGCCAAAGTAAGATTGATGATCTGGACAGATTCTTAGAACATTCATATGAAAGGGGTGGCAGCATCTGACCAATCACAGAGGGGCCTTTCATAAGTCATATGACTCTTATTTCACAGAAAATTTTCAGAATTATCCCAATTATACCACATACGTCAGAGATCTTATGACGTGGTGATTAAAAAAAATCCCAAGATCATAAAAATATACCAATAAACAGCAATTTCTTCAGTTAATATGGTGATTTACATATTTTAATTCCAGTTAATATTTTTATCACTGGGTACGCTCTCAGTGAAACACACATTTGTTCTTTGATCAAATAATGAACATTTAGAATCACATACAGTATTAATACAAAAAATAGAATTACATTAAACTGATGCAACAAAAGCTGCTCAATAATTATCAAAAACTTCAATCCCCACAGTTCAGGCACCTACAAGAGATTCCCGAGGAAGTGTTTTAACAAGGAAAATGACACAATGGGTCAAACGGTGCTTCATTGACACCAATTTATTTCTTTGTTTGTTTCTTTTAAAGTTTATGATGTTTATCTCTAAAGAAAACATCCAGCTCTCAAGTTGTCAGTTAATCAGCTATAGTGACTGATCTGGCCTGGAGGTCATTGTGCGTAGCTTTCCCTGTAACACACCAACGCCTACTACAGCAAAACATTCAGGCCTGACCAAACCTCAAAATATCCTTTAACAATAGTACGTTTACGGCACATGGCTTAGAGGAATGTCTTGAATTGACCCCATTCATTGAGCAAGATAAAGGCCTACCACACCAGGTGCACGGCCTTTTGTTAACTAAGCAATTCCCACACTTACACTCTCTGTTCTCAGTACTGCAGTTTCCTAGGGACCTGAAAATTCCCATGTAACACATAAACAAACGTCATGTTATGCATTTCGATTTAGCTTTTTAATTAAGAGTAATGTTTAATGTACCCGGCGGCTGCTGGCTGGGCCTGCGGGCTCGTCACTGCAGCCCCCAGAGGCTTCTGCTCCGTGGCTGCTGACCTCATGTCTGGGGCTCTCCTCAGCTCTTTCCAGGAAGGTGGCGCGGTTGCCTCTCCGGTGGTCCTCCTTGGGCTTTCGCACGCCTGTGGGTGTCCGGGCCTGGGTCTCCTCCATGTCTGCTTCATGCTCTGCAGATTGTTACAAGGATTAACCTTTTGAACTCAAGCGTGCTCACACACACAGGTGTGCACACGGTTGTAACAGACAAACTAGATCGTCCTTAGCTGCTACCTTAAAGCATATCGTGCGCTGTCGGTCTTGTGTGCTGCTCAGTAACATTCAATATTTAGTACTGACTGTTACTTACACTGTCTAGGTCATTGCTTTGATCTCTGTATTGTGTTGTTCTCTTGTTGCTTGTTTTCGTTTTTCTTCTTTTAACCGGTGATCCAACGGATTTCCTCAGTGTCTTCTCTCACTGTCCCCCCTTCCCTCTGTTTTTCTTTCTCTCTTTCTGTCTAATTGTCTGTCCAATTTGTAATAACTTAAAATAAAATAAATAAACAATAATAATACATATCGATCAAGTGGACCAATATGGCATTGCTAGATTTTCGCCACTTGAAAAAATACATCTGTTGGGCATCTTTCCTGGCCTTTAGCAATTCAGAATCGTTGTCTGAAGTACCAAACGAGACAGGCCAAAATAGAAAAAAGAAAAGAAAGTAGTGTTTAAGTTGTTATGTTATATTTTGTAATTTAATTTTACAAAACTGATGAGTGTTGTAGGAACAAGACAGAAAATGTCACCTAACAGGGTGTGTGACAAAGTGGAGGAGCAGTTGCTCTCCATTTGTCCCATATGTGTTTACCTTTTTTTTTTTTTTTGCACATTGTACACATTATTCTGTTTCTATGCATTTGTTGTGATTTGCTGTTTGTCGGGTGACATTGCTTCACTCACTATCCCGGGTTTGTTTGTGTAAGCGTTCTGTTGCAGGCAAAGCAAACATTCTGTAAATTAAGGCAAATACTCAGTCACATGTTTCTTTATATTTTATTATGTTACAGATTAAGTCATTTGTTCATACTTACTTTGTTTGTCTTTTCAGTCTTCATGAGGGTCAGGAGTGGGGAAACGCCTGCCTGGTATTTCCTCATTTTAAAGTCCTGATGATGTCATATGTGACATCAGCAGGTCAAACCAAGGTGAGGGGTTTCTTTTTCCATAGAGATGCTTCCTTTTGTTTGTGTTAAGGTTTAAAGTAATTTGTTGAATGTTTTTCCTTTCGTTAATACTGCCATTTAGTTGTGTAAATGTGCATGTTAGAAGTGTGTAGAGGTTTTGTGTTTTTAGATAATCTGTGTAGAGTTTTAGATCCCTCAGTTTGAGTGAGTGGTACTGGCTGGGCAATTGGAGGGAAATTGATGGCCCTATGTAAAGCCAGTCGCTACCAGATGCAGCAGAGAGGAGAGCCATGTTGTGTTGAGTTTTGTTAATAGAGTTGATTTGGGGGGGGAGTTTTGTTAAGTTACATTAAATTAAGTTCACTGTCAATAAATTGCTCACCTTGGAAACCTGAAATGTCTGCGTAGTCTGCTTCCCTACCACCTTCCTTGACGTTCGAGTCTGACTACTTCACAGGGTGTGTATCAGTAAACAACAGAGTGAAAGCAAAATGCAACACAAAAAACTTCCAAATGCTGCGTCCTGATTGACAGTCTTGTGATCCACACCAGTTATTATTCCCTTTACGTACAGAATTAATTTTTCCCAATTTTACACACACACACAAATTGCACAGTGCACACAAGTCTGAAAACATGGAGCTCATGTATCAGCAACATAACTTCAAACTGCTAAACTCAATCATTCAAATACCATTCTAAATCAGAGTTTTGTAAATCTCTGAACACAAAGTGCATCATTAGGTACACTTTGGTTAGGCCACAGAAGAAGACGAAGAGTGAGAGTAAGATTAGAGGAGGCCTAGCAGGCAAAGGAAGGATTTGTTTTAAAGTAAGGAAAAAAATGTGTATATGTTCACCTGATCAAAAGAGAAACCACTGTGGAGACTGGCAGTCATTTGTACTTGAACTACTCTGCATCTCACTTGATTACCATCAGGATCAAACACTATCCCGCTGAGTGATGGTGGGCAGTTATTTCGAACCCTATAACATGAGATTCAACTGCATCAGAAATAATCTCAGGAAAAAAATCTATTATTCCTACTTCAGTGTTCACTGTTGTGGAAAAATACATATGGCTAAAAACAATTTGTTAAAATAATTTTTAAAAAGTTCCGTACAAAAGTTTGGTATTTTATAAATGAAATAGACAAATTAAATAGTGTGGTTAAAGAGATCTTCTGAATATTTTTCTCAACAGCCACTGAACTTCCTAAAGTGTGATTTATGGTGCTGCAAATGTCTGTCCGTGTACTTGGTTCCAGTGCCTCCACCTGACAGTGGAGCCCTGCAACAAACTCTCCAACAACCAAAAAGTTTCACGTGAAGACTGTGCGCCGCCGGGTTTTCCTTGCCTGCTCTAATTTTACTGGATGTTAATGCTGTGGCTGATGCCACCTGACTTTTAGTGTTTATGTTTTATTGGTTTTTACTGTGTGTTCTCCACGGCTGTTTTAATTGCTTTTAAACCGTTTTGTGTAATAAATTATATTTTAGAAATACAGTTTTATACTGTTCTATTCCTTTGGCTGCTCCACTGCTCTGTCTGTTTTTTTGGGGGGGGATTTCCCTCCTTAGAGTAACACCTGGTGACCACTTACATATGCAGTACAGCAATTTAACCAGCCTTTCCATCTCAGCATCTAACTCCAAAATGAAAAGGTCTGCGGGGTCCATGTTCCGGTCGCGATCTTCTGTCATGTGAAGGCTGTGTGCAGGCAGGAGTGGTGGACCCAAAGTGCAGACACACGGAGCAAAAAGGTGAACTCAAATGCAACTTTAATGGTGGATGGCAAAAAACAGAAAACTGGCTAAACTGGAAATACGGCTGGCTGGCTGGCTGGCTGGCTGGCTGGCTGGCTGGCTGAACACACAGTGTGGGATGATGGCAATCACAACCCAGACAAAGGAAAACACAGGACTTAAATACACAAAGGGAGCAATCAGGAAATGGGAAACAGGAGGGGAACACGGCTGGGGCAAATCAGGGCTAACGATACAAGGGAAGCAAAACCTGATACAATAATCTGAGACATGGATGTTTTATAAAGTAAAACAGGAAACATAACACAGAGACGCGGACTTGACAAGGGGATACAGCAGACAGGGGAGACAGAGCAACTAAGGAACACAGACAGAAAACAGAACACTAACAAAGAAACTGAAAGACTAGAAATGATAAAAAATATTAAAATCAAAGTTCTTTTCTTTTTTTTTTTTTTGTGTCCCGTTTGGATCTTTAGCCATCAGAATTGTTGTCTTAAGGCCAAGAAAGATGCCAAGCGGATTTATTTTACCAAGTGGATCATCATGGCCTTGCCATATTGGTCCATTTGATTGACCTTTATTATAATTATGAATTTATTTTATTTTCAGTTGCTACAAACGGGACAGACATGACTGGGGGATAGGACAGGGAGAAAGAATGAAAGAAAGAGAGGGAGAGAGAGAAAACCAAAGGGGAGAAGAGACGGTGAGAAGGGGGGGAAGAAAGAAAAAACAAACAAACAAAACACCTGGGTCACCTGTATGGAGAAAAAAAACAGAAGAGAAAGCAAACAACAAAGAGCAACATAATAAAAAAAACGGCACCATCACAATAAACTAGCTAGCAGTAGATATCAGTAGATACTAAATAATAAACGATATTGTGCAGCACGCAAGATAGACAGCGCACAATGTGCTTTGAGGCAGCAGCCAAGAAAGCTGTAGTCCGCGTCTGTGAATACCCGTGTGTACACCTGTGTGCATACCT